AGATGTTTGCGGATAAAAGCAGATGTTTGCGTATAAAATCAGATGTTTGCGGATAAAAGCAGATGTTTGGAGATTACACAGCAAACGAAAAATTATAGAAGTGTATAGGATGACTCCGCGTTTGAATATCAAATCTTAAAGTTTTATCATAACTGTATTGAATCGCGCTTTGTTTTTATATTTTTCGGCTCTATACCTATGCACGACTATATTTAAAGTCAAACTCAATGGTGTCTTACAAGATACATTATTTTGATTTTCTATATTCAACAGAGGAGTAGAAACTCGACCCTGTCGAATGGTGCAGTCATATATGTCTCTAGAAATTATTAAAAAAGGGTTCAGTCCAATGGTGCAGCAACTTCGGATTCCTATTCTCCTCAGAGACATAGAAACTCAAGCTTTTCGAATTTTACTGGCAATGATTTTCGTTAATGTCCCCGAGAATTATACAAAAACAGCGCAATGCAATATCGCAACGGTTTCGACTTCTCTTTACTCTACCACACAGCAAACGAAAAATTATAGAAGTGTATAGGATGACTCCGCGTTTGAATATCAAATCTTAAAGTTTTATCATAACTGTATTGAATCGTGCTTTGTTTTTATATTTTTCGGCTCTATACCTATGCACGACTATATTTAAAGTCAAACTCAATGGTGTCTTACAAGATACATTATTTTGATTTTCTATATTCAACAGAGGAGTAGAAACTCGACCCTGTCGAATGGTGCAGTCATATATGTCTCTAGAAATTATTAAAAAAGGGTTCAGTCCAATGGTGCAGCAACTTCGGATTCCTATTCTTCTCAGAGACATAGAAACTCAAGCTTTTCGAATTTTACTGGCAATGATTTTCGTTAATGTCCCCGAGAATTATACAAAAACAGCGCAATGCAATATCGCAACGGTTTCGACTTCTCTTTACTCTACCAAGTTATAGAAACTGGAGTCTCTCTAATACTGTTCTAGTCAATATTTCTGAGAGTATAAAAAGAGGGTGTAATATTGCAAGAAGTTTTGATCTTTTGATGGATGAATTTTCTCATTTCTCCATATGATTTTGTTGAAAATAGCTCCTTTCTTTGGTTCCTTTGTCTGATTTTTATTTACCGTAACAACTCAGGTATGTAAAGCACAGAGGATATGATGTTAAGTATATTTATGTATTATATAAAGTACCTATATTTGTATTAAAAATTTAAGAGGTTATGTTGAAAAATGATCGATATGCTATTAAACTTTAATAATTTAGTAATTAGGTCTGTTGGTAGACCCTGCACTATCTCCACTCACAATCATGTCGTATATAGTTTTTTTAAGCATAAAATAATTTTTATATTAATACTAGTTCAAAAGTGAAATTACGACCTCTATACTGTGGAGAGTATTGAAACGCTCGACTGACGAATACAACTCTATACCGTAGGGAGATTTAGAAATCGATATTCAAACGTGGCGTCATCCTATACACCTCTATAATTTTCCGTTTGCTGTGCAAGTTATAGAAACTGGAGTCTCTCTAATACTGTTCTAGTCAATATTTCTGAGAGTATAAAAAGAGGGTGTAATATTGCAAGAAGTTTTGATCTTTTGATGGATGAATTTTCTCATTTCTCCATATGATTTTGTTGAAAATAGTTCCTTTCTTTGGTTCCTTTGTCTGATTTTTATTTACCGTAACAACTCAGGTATGTAAAGCACAGAGGATATGATGTTAAGTATATTTATGTATTATATAAAGTACCTATATTTGTATTAAAAATTTAAGAGGTTATGTTGAAAAATGATCGATATGCTATTAAACTTTAATAATTTAGTAATTAGGTCTGTTGGTAGACCCTGCACTATCTTCACTGGTATTTTTTAATTTTGTAATATTTAAATCTGGTTGATGAAAAAGTACACACCAGTGCAGGTTATTGTAGCATCTACGAACAAATGAATTAATGGCCCATTGGCAATTATTCCTTTAGGAAAAATATTCAACACAGCTTAATTAATTAATAAAATGAAAAAAATTACAATCATGTCGTATATAGTTTTTTTTAAGCATAAAATAATTTTTATATTAATACTAGTTCAAAAGTGAAATTACGACCTCTATACTGTGGAGAGTATTGAAACGCTCGACTGACGAATACAACTCTATACCGTAGGGAGATTTAGAAATCGATATTCAAACGTGGCGTCATCCTATACACCTCTATAATTTTCCGTTTGCTGTGTAAAACAGATGTTTGCGGATTAAAGCAGACGTTCACAGATACAAGCAGATCTTCGCGGATAAAAGCAGATGTTTGCAGGTGAAATCGGATGAATCAGACTTTTGCGGACTAAATTAGATGTTTGCGGATTAAAAGGATGTTTGTGGATTAAAGCAGATGTTCAAAGATAAAAGCAGATCTTTGCGGATATAAGCAGATGTTTGCAGGTGAAATCGGATGAAGCAGACTTTTGCGGACTAAAGTAGATGTTTGCGGATGAAATCAGATGTTTGTGGATTAAAATAGATGTTTGCGGATGAAAGTAGATCTTCACGTATAAAAGCAGATGTTTGCAGGTGAAATCGGATAAAGCAGACGTTTGCGGATTAAAGTAGATGTTTGCGGATAAAATCAGATAAAACCGGGTAAATGCAGATATAAACCCAAATACAGGTATTTGCGGATGAAACCAGATGAAAGCAGACATAGAACTAAATAGATAAAACCCGACGTTCGCAGATAATATTTATACCCGCAATTGCAGATAAAAACCGACATGCCAGGTAAAATCTGATATGTCGGATGAAAACAGATCTAAATGGACATAAAACTAGCTTGGTTTTTTATCCGCAATCATCCGATATTAACCGTCAGTTCGATTTTGTCGTTTGTGGTGCATCGTACTTTCATCTCTGGGTCATTGCTCGATGAAAAGTTTGAAACATAGCTGACTTTGACCCAGGAGGGACAACCCTGCTTAAAATACCCCATAGAGACCTATACAAAATAATCTATCGGGCGCTACCGGATTCAATATGTGCATTTGTCCATGGTTTTTTCCGGATACAGCCCGATAGAAAATGTATAGGAAATTACCTATGGGCACACCATAACTTTTACATTTTCCCTATTGAGACCGATAGCAAATAACTCAATGAAGGATATATAGGGATATCCCTATAGAGCAACCATAAAACATTTGACAAAATTTTATTAAAACCTATGGGGTCCTATAGGGGAAAAACTAATTTCTACATTTATGTGTATTTTCCCCATTGAAACCGATAGCAAATAAATCAACGGTGGATATCCCTATAGAACAACCATAAATCTCAATTATGGGTCCTATACAAACCGATACACCCCATAGAAACACCATACATCCCGATACAAATATCTATCGGTTTGAACAGGGTCTCTATGGGGTATTTTAAGCAGGGAAAATGGAATTCCGGGTATAGAAATATACCTGTATTTTTGGACAATATCGCAAGCTTTGACCTTCTAGCGAGCTTTTTTGTGAATTGTACAACACATGGAGTGGATGATCCAAGATTTAGAAAATTCACGTGTCTATGGGTGGATGGCTTCGTGAAGCGCATGGACATTAAAACTTGTTGCTGGTCAAAGTGGTTCATTGAAACCGAGACCATTAAGGCCTTAGGCCACCAAGGAAGAAGAAGATATTAACCGTCTTTTTCAGCAGGGAAAGATTAAAAATATGTTTAAGGGGATTAATACAAACTACAATGCAGACCAGGGTGGAACCCTGATGCAGACCTTGACAATTAAACTATAGTTTCCCTATAGGGATCCCATCAGTGCCTGCAGTAGGTTTGTTACTAAGTTTTTTAGCAGCCTTCATAATATCAGAGTCAGATAAAGTTCCGATGTTAATGATACAATGATTAGAAATTTGTTCATCCGGCAAGTCGTTCAGGTCCGTATTAACATAGACGGATCGAAAGTAACTGCCAAAAGTGCCTTTTTTAAGGTTAACAAAATTCCAAAATTGACAAATTATTTTCAGTAGATGATATAAAATCTTGATAGGCCTTATGTATTAAACGCTTGCATTCCGTATCTAAGTAATTTAAACTGATTAATATAATGTAAGCTCTTATATTTTTTATAATTTTTGTTTTAGTACCTTTATAATATTACCATTAAACCATGCAGGGAGGATACTGGCGGGTCGATTCGCGACTTATACTTATTAAGATCCTGTTTTTTAATTTATATAATAATTTAATTTACTTTCTATTATAATAAATACAAATTTTAATATACATATTTAACATACATTTTTCTCCGTGTAGTGAAACAATGCTACTCATATGCGTGTGAAATCGACCGCACGTGTGCGTTCTCACGCCGTGCGACGCACGATTGCATTCTGGGATAGGACAAGGAGGGTCAATATGGTGTTTGGGGGGCCTTGAACTGACCAAAAACTAAGTAGAATCCGGACTCCCCCTTAGCCAGGGTTTTAGTAATAACCCCATTCATTTGGGGTTAATGAATGGTGACTTGATTGGTTAATATGCTGCTAGGATATATCCTTGCTGGTTTTAAAGTACTTCCTGTTCGTCTGTGTCCTCTCTGTCCGGGTCGTATTCCCAGCTTGTTGATTATCTATAGCGTTGCTCCCATATAAACAATACTATTCTTAGTAGTATCTTTTCTATGTTTGCACTCGACTGTGCGGTGCGATTGTTTATTCGTTTAGAACGTTTGAGGAGTCAGCCCAATTATGGTCCCCTTAATGTCTTATAAATAAATTTACGGTAAATGATATAACTTTTAAATTTCTACGGGAGGAAGGGCATTCTAACAGTACAGTACAGGAATATATAAACAGCACTACGGTTTTCGTATTGTTCATCTTTTATGGAAGGAAGGCAATCTATAAGTCAGGCTTAAAGGGGAAAAAACTAAAAAATATGACAAAAAAAATTAAGTCAGTTTTTTTTTTTAAATCCCAAGGGGATTAAAATATAAATAAATTTGATTTATTTATTTTTTCTTTTTAATGACAACTGTTCAACAACATTAGGCAATTCCTTTAATAAAAAATCAATATCCATAATAAAATTGTTGGCAGCCCAATACTGCTTCAACTTATCCATAACCAGCCCCATGAATTTTCCACTCTCCACACCTTTATCTTTTAAGAGAACTCCATTAATGGGAAATTTCGGAGCCTCCCAATTTGCAAACTCCTCTAAATGCGGCGAATTATTATACTTTAAAACTTCCAAAATCCACTGCTTTGTATCAGACTGTCTGGATTTACTTTTCACCAGAAGTTGTTGGTATGGTTTTAGTGGTTTAGGGTCCAATTTAGGCTCCCTGTGGGTTACAATGAACAAAGCTAACTCCCTTTCAAATGCTGATAATTTTAAACGATTGTTTAAAGCCACAACATCATCTTGAGTGGTTAAAACACTACACAGTAATGTTATAGCGTTCATTTTGTGTTGTTGACTTTGTTTCCATACCAAAGACAACTCATTTGTGTTGCATACTTCTGGCAAACCTACATTTATAAAATAAACAGTAATAAATATACAAAATAAATAATTTGTTTTGTGTTTTTACCAATGTAAGTATGAAGTTTACAATCTATAATTGTATTAAATAATTCCCCTGCAAATTTTCCTTCTAATATTTTCTTTAACTCAGTCCAAATTCTTTCCCCTGAGATTCTTTCCAAACCAGAAATATTCTTACAAATTGCTTTTAAAGTATCTTCTTCATGTTTATTTGGATATTCTGCAATTTTCCCATAAAATCTATAGAATAAATTTTTATTAGATAAATTAAAAAAATCCTTATGACAAGATACAGTTTGTTTTTTTTATTCAGAATTTTACACATTTGATTATATTGGTACTGTTACAGTACCTACTACCCGGACAACATTCGTGATATTCATACGAACATCACGTCGTGATTTTCACAAATTTTATTCATCACTGAAGTCACCGCGTGATAAATAAAAATCATACGAACGTCACGTCGTGATTTTCACAAATTTTATTCATACGGACATCATCCGGATGTCACTGCGTGAGAAATAAAAATCATGTCGTGATTTTTTATGCCATCGCTGTTTGCGATTGACCGATGGCACAAAAAATCATGTCGTGATTTTTTATGCCAACGGTGTTTGAATAATCATTTTTGCGCCACGTTCGTACAATAAGAGAAAAATTATGTTAAATCAACAGTTTTTGCGGTTAAATACATTTATTATTTTCTTGGATTTAAATTAACTATATATAGTTAATTTAAATCCAAGAAAATATTGAATGTTAAACTGTTAATTCAATTGTTAACATACTTTTTCTTTCACAGTACGAATGTGTCACAAAAATGAATATCCAAACACCGATGGCATAAAAAATCATGTCGTGATTTTTTATGACCAAACACCGATGGCATAAAAAATCATGTCGTGATTTTTTTATGCCATCGGTGTTTGGATATTTATTTTTGCGCCACATTCGTACGTTGAGAGAAAAAGTATACCTACATATATATTGAATCAAGAGTTTTTGTGGTTAAATAAAAACATTCAATATTTTTTTGGATTTAAATTAATAGTTAATTTACATTCAAGAAAATATTGAATGTATTTAACCGCAAAAACTGTTGATTCAACATAACTTTTCTTTGAGTGTACGAACGTGGCGCAAAAATGATAATCAAAACACCGTTGGCATAAAAAATCACGACATGATTTTTTATGCTATCGGTCAAAAAATCACGACATGATGTTCGTATCGACATCAGGAATGTTGTCCTTTTTTAATTGAATTCAAACTAGGTTTTAAATTCGCAGTTCGCAGGGCTATTACGCATGCGCAAATTTTGCAAATATCACACCGTGAGTTCTACATGATATCACTGTGATGAAGCATGTGTATGCACTCAGGATATCACGGCGTGATAAAAAAAATCACGTTGTGATATCATCATGATTTCACCAGGAAATCCCGATTGTTGTCCGGGTACTGTATATGAATATTTTTAATATTTAAAACTGGTGCTCCTCGTCGTCTTGCATACGAAAGGGCGTACTAAAAAATGGTAATTTTGCAGGAAACCAGTTTCAAATTCTTGATACAATCAAAACTTCTGCCACAAGAATGCAATAAGGTTTTTTTGGCTGTCTGCAGGGCATAATGATTCAGATATGCCCGTTTGACAGCAACAAAATATCAACTAAAGACATAATTATAACGGCATATCTAAAAAAATCGATTTTTTGAGATAAACCTTTTTGTATGCAAGACGACGTCCTGTTAAATGCCTTAGTTTACTTTAATATTTATTATTTAATTGTTAGAATCATACTAAACAATGCCAAATGCATTTTAATAAAATAATTCATTTGTGCTGAATAAATCCACTAAATTAGTTTGTTTTACTCAATTTAGCCAAAACAAAACCCCCAAATATGTTATGTCAAATACTTAATAAAAAAAACCTCTATGTACCTACAAAGGTACTACAGTCATATGCAAATTAAAAGCGTACAGCCTTAGAATGAGAGGTACTGCAATTGTCAAATATCAAATATCAGATCTGTGGGTAAAAGGCATAAGGGTCAAAAAAAGCAATTTTTCAATAGAGCCTTTAACGTGTTCGCATTAATTCAGGAAATATATTTATATGTTTAGCGGGTATACGCTTTTGTTAGCATATGACATGGGCTAACAAAAGGGTATACCTGCTAACAATAAATAAATTTCCTGAATTGATGTGAATATGTTTAAGGCTCTACTGAAAAATTGCTTTTTTTGACTTATCCCCTTATGCCTTTTACCCACAGAGATAACTGACGGCTGGTTTACATCTATGGCACTGTATTTTTTATAACCTAACTCGCCATATTTACAAGTGCAGTACCTCTCATTCAAAGGCTGTACACTTTTTATTTGCATACGACTGTACTATAATGGGATAAGGTTTACTTTAATCATTTTATTTTGGTAGGTTTTGGAACCTTTCACATACTAGAACTACTAACCTAAAATATCTCAATATTCTTAAATAATCTTCTTGAATTCTAGTAGTAGCATCACCAACAAATGCTACCCTTTTTATTTTTAAATCATCATATCCAAAAAAGTAATCATAAACTGAACCATCAATACCTTAAAAAATCACAATAAACTTTTTGAAATGCAAAATGTTTTAATTTTTTTTAACTCTAAAATACAAAATATCCAAAATATTTTTAGAGAAGTTACCCACCCAAAAACATAGAATTTATTGTCAAATCCCTTCTCAAAGAATCCAACATCCAGTCAGTAGTAAACTGAACTTCAGCATGCCTTCCATTAGTAACAACATCAATTCTTAGTGTTGTTACTTCAAAGTTTTCCTTGTTATTAATCCTTGGAGTTATAGTGCCATGTTTTTCCCCATTCATATTAATCATCCTCACATTTTCTTTCTCAAACATCTCCTTCATCTCACTCGGAGTTGCAGTAGTGGCAAAATCCAAATCCTTAGGGGTTTTACCCATTAACAAATCCCTAACAGCACCACCCACAATCCTAATTTCAAAACCATTATTCTTGAATATTGACACCAACGATTTCAACTCTTCCGTAAATATAGACTTAAATTCCTCCGTATCAAGTTTAAGAACAACAGGATCCTGCCTGCTTTTTGGTAATGCCATTTTATACAACTCTTTAATACGTTCAGATTTTGTAAGGTTTTGCAACTAAAATATCAATAATATATACACAAAAAATTACGACGACATACTAACTTGTACGGTGGAATATCTTGTACAACAAGTCTTTATTAATAACTTACTAAAATTAAAAATCATTTTTTCAAAAATTAGACACACATTTTGTGGGGTTATGTTGTGTTGACCACCAGGGGTGTTTCTGGAACTTTACAAATTGTGCAGCCATCTAGCGTGATATTGTACTAACTAAGATCAAATTGTACTAAACGCGGAAATTCAAAAACTGTCCAAATTTAATCAACATCAGATTTCAGCTTCCAGAATCACCCTTGCATAAGTTCAAAAGAAAAGTAATAAACAGCTAACCTGTCCATTACATTCACTATCACCTCACAGATTCACAGCTGGGTGCCGACAGAAGTAATATGTTAGGCTAGTGATGACCACATAACATGATGACTTGACTTTTAAAGTTGACATTTCAGTACCTTAGAATGACAAGGTTCTAGCTGCAGTTGCCATATTAAGCAAAAATGCCTTATCTGCAATATTTAATATTGTAGATAAGTCACTCTTGGTTAACAGTGCAGCTGCACTTAGAACCTTGTCATTCTAAGGTACCGATTTGACGCCTTGCGCCACATTCCCTTCATAGAGAAACTTTCTCTATGATTCTCTCCGTAATGTAGGCTCCGTTACCAACAGTAAAAAACAGTGGCTAGAAATTTTGCCTTAATTTCGAGATTCGTTTTATTAATTTTTTCTAATTAATTAATTGCCATTAAAGGCAATTTTAAAAATTGTACTAGAATTGCCAAAGAGGTGCTGACGTACTAGAAGCTATTTTTTTGTACTAGAAAAGTACAATTGTACTAAAAATCACACCCCTGTTGACCACTGTCAGATCTAGGGATTTTTCTTTTGGTTTGTTGGTACCACTTAGTGTCACTTGGTTCCCGCCACCTGAGATTTGTGATCTTTTGCTAAAAATATTAACTTTAGTTGTATTTTATATCAGTTCTGGGTGAAATTAACTGCTAAAATGGCTACAGTAGAAGAAATAAAGCGTTTTTTTCTCGATGTCAACATTATTCCTACGGCATCGGTTTTAGACAAATGTAATATAATAAAAATCTCTAAAATAAGTGTGTTCATAGGTAGTATTTTTTTTCTTTTTTAGGTCTGGAACTTTGTCAAAATTATAACATTGAAGCTGAGAATTTTGTTGACGAGTGGTTTGCATATACAACCTCAAATTTAAATGGAGCCTTACCTACCATTGAAGAATTGGAAAAAATGGAAAGAAAAGAGTTCCAAAAACAAGCCAAAGAAACTAGTAGTGTTAAAAAAAGTATGCCTGCAACATCTAGAATACCAAATATACAAGAAGATATGTATCCTTTTATTTTTGTAATAATTTATTCAACACCCATTTTATTCCTTGATTTCAACCAGCAGGCTGAAGTTTCAAGTTGAAATTGAAAAAAATAAAAGGTAAAACTGCTTGACAGTTGTTGGATAAAATATTAAAACAACTTGCGGTAGTTCAATAAAATATTGTGTGCAAATATTGGTCAAAAGAGGAATTCCACTCTCATGAGGACTCTCCTCTTACTCGCATTAATTAATTAATGCAATTGCACAATACACTTTTGTTTTTAATTTATCAGTAATTTCCTTAATTTTTATATAGTGATGCCAACGCTTTAGTAAATTCGTATTCAGGAGGAACTCCAAAGGTAAGATATCAATAATTGATAATAAATTATTAATATTTATTGATGTGATTTTAAAAACTCTGGTTCAGTGTTGCCAAGCATCGTTAAATTTGGCAACCCTGTTTTTGATGAACAAAGACGCCTGTTGAATGCCGCGCACCTGCGCAAACAACTTAAGTTTTCTCAGAAGTTTCAAGGCCATTTTATCCTTCGGCGGCCATTGTTAGAAGTGGTCGAAGAAGCTTGGCTTTGGTTTTGTGTAGTGATTAACAACGCCAAGCGAAATCCAGTAAGCTGTGGCTTCCTTTGTCTTTCAATATCAAGCCGGCATTTTTTGACAACCTGTTGCATCGAATTTTGTGGTTATATGCGCTTGGTGGATTTGATTAGTTTTTCAAGTTTTGGCAGTGTAAACAACCTTTTTGTTAATATTTTCGCGTCTCGGTTGTTTGCAGACGAAATAATTTACAAGGTTAAATAGCATTAACCGTTATTTTATTAAACAAATATTATTATTTTATTGTTTAATCTGCTACAAATCGTTCTTTATTATTTTTTAACAATAGCGCAAAGTACAAAGGGGGGTTGTTAGTGAGTTGGGGTTTGGTGCACATATATTCAAATTGTGACTAGATCCACACTCATTAATAAAAACCTTTTTAATCATCGGTTCAAACAACTAAACTGTACATAGTAATGCATTGAAATTAGCACCCTGTTGGCGATTGTGGGTTTAGTCCATGTATTTTTAATCATGACTAGATCCATACTCGTCTATAGGGACTTCAACCTCCACAAATTATCATTAATTGATCTAATTTTTTGAAATAAATGGTAAAATGCGTTTTTCTTGGTTTCAGAGCAATAAAACACTGAAAAGTATTCAGACCCCAGAAAATCCTAGGAGATTAGCTGGTACTTCATTAAATTTTGAAACAACTACAGATATTTATGGCAGTCCAGCTCAGTATGTATATTTACTCTTAATAACATAATTTAAATTTTTGCAAAATTTATTTATACAGTTATTTTAAAGTGATTTATTTATATAATCTGTTATTAATGTCATTAATAAATGGCATAAATTTGCAATTTAAATTTTACTCCAAATATTGTATTATATTGATTTAAAGAGATGTTTAAACTAAAAATATACAGAATTGCTGCAGATTAAATACAAGGTCTTAGAATAAATTTAAAAATGTTCTATTAGTGTTAGATCTCGACCTAGGTCCATCTACCCTCATATGATTATCTGAGGTATTTTTTATTAAGCTGATACCTATATGAACAAACAAATCGCGCATAGGTTGTCTACCTAAAAGTGGTCAAGACAGGGTTGCCAGATTAAAAGGGTGGAGTGGAGTCCAAACTTTTTTTTGTGCCCCACTGCTTAAATTTAATAATTAAATTAAATTTCTTGGCCTATTTGCTATATTTTTGTCTTTAAGTTCATTTCATATACAGCTTTGTTTTAAAAAAAATAAGACAATTAAATTAAATGAAATTTTCTCAATTTTTTGAATTTATTTTTCTTGCCTTAATTAATTTTAAACAAAGCTGTTGTATATGAAAATACTTGGAAAAAAAATTAATTGATATCCAATCTGGCACACCTGTGTCTTGAATTTTAGGTAGGTAATCAGATGATGGTAGGTAGACCTACATAGATTGGGATTTTTGACCATAGAAAAAGAATACCTTGGACTATACCTCATCAAAAGTTCTCATCTTGACATTAAAGAAGGAATAAAGACAAATAATTAAGGTTATGTATCTGTCAGTTTAACGCCAATTTCGTCTTATTTTCTAAAAATAATACTTTATAATATACAGTGTGACCCATTTGTTTTGCGACTCAATCTTTATTTATTGTGCGATTTTAACCGGATTTGTTTTAAAGTGTAGATTTTGATAAACTGTTTTTTTGGAACAAAAAACGCCATATTTTTACAAAATACAAGGCCTACTATGTTAGTTTTTAAGAGTAAGTTTTTAAGAATTTATATTGGCGATTTTTTAAACAAAATCACGGCACTGGATTCGCCACCCCTCAAAACGACCCTATAATTTTATTGAAAAATTTTAAGTAGAAAAATGCACACTAATAACTACAAAAATTTATTCTGTCAAGTTATCCATGAAAAAGCATTTAAATAAAATTAAACTAATACTAACAGGGTACAAACATTTATTCTGTCAAGTTATCCATAAAAAACAATTAAATAAAATTAAACTAATACTAACAGGGTACTATTACTATAAGTTTAATTTTATTTCAATGTTCTTTGCATGTTTAACTTGACAGAATAATTTTTTTTATTGTGCATTTTTCTACTTTATTTCCTTGTCTAAGGGTTAGTACCTATCTTTTACAGTTCAGGCTCGAGGTATTTTGCCTCCCCCTTTTTATTGGTGACAAAAATCTTATTGTAGAGAATTTTTTGTTACATTGTTGTTTTAAATTTCTATTGCGTTTTTTATTTGTCCAAACTAAGAATAGGAATATTTATATCATGTTACTTTTACTTTAATTTTCAACGTTTTTTTCATGGATAACTTGACAGAATAAATATTTGTAACTATTTACAAAAATTTATTCAATATATTGTTCATTTTTAATTTGGCTACAAAATCGTTAATACTTAAAAATTTTCAATAAAATTTAGTAAAGGGTCGTTTTGAGGGGTGGTGAATCCAGTGCCGTGCTTAGATTTTGTTTAAAAACATCTCTAATATGAATTCAGGAGTGAGTCGCAAACAAATGGGTCACACTCAGAGCTGGGCACGAGTACTAAAAAAAGTATTCGTAAAATTTTAAGTACGTATACTTAAAATATTTACTCGTAAGTACATTTGTAAAGAGAGGTTACGGTTACGAGTAGTAATCGTGAAAACACGAGTAAAGAGTACGAGTACTTTTGAAAAAACATGTTAGTTTATATAATTAATTATTCTTTATACATTATACATACTTTCGTTCTGAACTTTTTTATTTTAAGTGACAAAAAATTTAAAAATGTGGTTATGTATGAACTAAAAATATTTTTTTTCAACGTATAAAAAAATTGGAAATTGGATCAGTATACAAGGAAAAACAAAAAGTTTTTTTTTTCTTAATGGATCACCCTATGTATGAATTTAATTTTTGAATCCTTGTAAAAGTCTAAGCATAATTCATATAACATAATATCATATGCCTAAATTCAACCGTTTCCGAAATATTTAAATTATTTTTAAGATAATAAGTTAAAACAGTTTGTCTTTTCTGTTTGAGTACGCCATTTTTACTTAATTAACAAGACATACGTATTGACATTATGTCACTATAGTTATTTATTTTCAATAAACATTTTGTTTATCAGTTTATCAATGTCCGGTTAAAGTTGCAGTTAGTTATCTGGCAGATAATCTCCATGGATACCATTGTTCTCACAACGATCAATATGGAATTTAACTGTCAGATAGACTAACTGGAACTAAACCAGAGAATGATAAACGGGCTTCTTGATTTGTAACAGTTTAAAAAATGTTTGATGATAACGTTTCAAATGCGAATGCAGAAGCGGTTGAATTTAGGTATATGGTTATTAAGCTTAGAATTTTACAAGGAATCGAAAAATAAATTCATATATAGGGTGATCCATTGAGAAAAAATATACTTTTTGTTTTTTCCTGTTTAATTTTTGTTTTTTGGACACTTAAAATAAAAAAGTTAAAGGGGGGCGACATTATAGGGAATCACCCTGTACATAAAATAATAAATAAAAATAACAATTCTTAAAAAGTTTATAATTTTACCTATATACTTGTTATAAATCCTATAGGCTATAATATATTATATTATACTGTATATTATATAATTAAAAACAGACTTTCAAACAAAATGTTTTGATGCTTACGATATTACTCGTGAATTCTACGAGTATTTTTTACGAGTACATTGAATTTGGTTTGTAAATACGAGTAATAAGTATTTCAAATGAAAAATACTTATGAGTAAAAAAGTACTCGTACTCGTAATTGAAATACGAGTAAAAGTACTCAGTACTTGGCCAGCTCTGGTCACACTGTATGTATACATTATTGTATCATTATCAGAGAATTAGACCAAATTAGCGTTAAACTGACACTAACATCAATTATTTTACTGCATTCCTTATTCAAATGTCAAAGTGAAACTTTTTAATGTAAGAAGATCGATATGATCTATGAAGCATAGTACCAAAAAACTTAAAATAAACATAAAAACTATAGTAAATTCTAAAAATATTGGGTACAAAATTTTAAACAATTATAGAAGATAATAAAAATGGAGGAACCCAACTGGTATGCGTGGTTAATATTCTACTATAACGTTAAATTACCGTTATTTTGCAATAAGAGAAAAATTAAATTATGGTTAAATTAACGTTAAGTTAAGTAAATTTAACACCCTAAACTTAAAAATTAACAATTCATTACTTTATTTTAACAACAATTAGAAAGTTCAAGTGCTTATTAATTGTTTATTTTTAAATTAAGGGTAGTTATTCAAAAATAATTTTTTGTTCCAAATTAAATTATATTTTTCATTTAAAAAATGTTATTTTTTTTAAATATTTCGGAATCCCGACGTTCAATTGTTTTTATGTTTTTACCATTTTAATTAGAAGAAAAATACCACCAATTTGCTTTAACCGACTTTGTAGCTTCAATAATAACGAAGTTAGCAATGGTGAGCAGATAACTTTAAAGTTATTTAAGTTTATATTGTAGGTACTGTATATTTATAAATATTGTTATATACATATATATTTATATATATATATATATAAATGTAATTCCATTACATTTCGAATAATTTCTCGGGAGAGGTCAATAATTTTGTTCAAACTTGGGAATCTTGGAGTACATCATAAAAGATCCCCACAAACCAAAATTCAACCCTCTAAGTGCCATAGGTCACGAAAAATGACTATTTAAAGGACTAAAATTCACTATTTTTAGCCTATTTTTGAAAATTTGACTCTCAATAACTATAAGCCGGAATTAAATTATTTGTATCAGGTTTTGTTTATTATATCTTTTAGTATGTATAAAAAATGTTTTAGACCTCGAGACCATTTGACCTTTATTTGGGACGTAGTTAAAAAAAATAAAAATTTCAATAAAATGACCATTTTTAATTGGCCGCCAAAAATTCAATTTTTAACTGATTTGCTCTCGCTATAGTTAATTTTTTTCGTTGATGTATGCTCTTCAAGCGAGTAACTCAAAAAACTTTATGCAAGGATCGCTAATATTGCT